CAGAAAGATGAATGACTGACCTTAAAACAAAATTCAAGCGAGGTTCAACTTGTTTTTGTTGTTGTAGTTTTTTCATTCAGTTTGAACTAACTTGTAATCACCAAAAATCACTGAGCAACTTTTATAAAGAAAACAACTCTGAGTTATAATAAATAACTAAACGACTTTGATACTTTGTCTGGATCAAACTATGATACTGAAAACTTTGAACCAACAGACATCACTCAAACACGGCTGTATCACTGTGTTACTTGTTGGGCTTGAGGCTTTTGCCTTTTGAAGTTCTGGAGGTTGACTTATCGACCTGACTTGTCCGGCCTCACCATTATTTAGCCCATTAGCTCATTTAGCCCATCTTCGTGCTTTTTAGTATACCTTATTATACATAAGGTAACCTTTTTGCTTCAATACGACTCCACGATAATTCCATTTTGCGTCAGAATAGAATATTCCGTGTCAATGACGCAAAAACGCAATCTAACGCTGAAGGCCTTGGTGTAATACCTCTACCCAAACTTGATACAATAGACACCAAAAAAAGATCCGTAGGCTTTCTCTAAAACGATATTTTTGATTTATGTACCATTAAGTGATTTTCTGTCTTCTAGGAGTTTCTCATATTCTTCTTTTGTTAACAGTCCATCAAGGATATTTTCAGTGAGTTTTGGAAGAACAACAGCTAGGAATCCCTCTGTTTCTGGCTGCATAAACAAAAAAAATGTAATCAATTTTGTTATTATTAAGGTAACTCTAAACTGCTCACTGAGGTGGTTTTAAAATTCTAACCAGGTTAACAAAATTATTTATTTAAATGAAGTTATGACAATTGCAGTTATAATGAATTGCAATTTAAGTTAGAAATAAAATTCAAAAAATATATTAGATTTGTATTTCTGCAGTTCGACACATCATCTTCATTCTTTGTTTCATTTCTTTCACGGGTTAAAATCAACTTAACAAACTGGTCTGGGTCTTCATAGCTCAGTTGGCAGAGTGCTGCAGTGCTAAAGCAAGAGTCATGGGTTTGTATCTCATTGAAGCCCTGAATATTTGAACAGAACCTCTATTTCAGCCATCATTCATGAGCCATTGATATTTTTATTACCTACAGAACAACTTTTGGCTTACAATTTTCTATCATTCATTTTACTATAATTTATAACAAAATACAGGTGACAAACCTTTTCCAGCATAAGGTTTGGATTGGAGACCAGCTCCTCGTTTACTTCAACCAGCTTTCCTTTGACACAACTGCAGCAAATGTAAAGGGAAAACAGAATCATCCATTTTTTTATAAGAATGTTACTGTGTTAATATTTTATTGTACTTAATATTTTACTTTTGTGTGCTATTGCTTTTGAGCAAGGAGAATGACTGCAAGTACCCTGCAAGCAGAAGCTACATTTTTGCTGTGTGAGCTGTCATGCAAAAAGTAGCCTCTGCTGACAACCGTTCAAATCTGTCCAGAAATCTGGACGAATAAATTTAAAAAAACGCATTTTTTCCTGTTCTCAGCGAAAATGTAGCCTCTACTCGCAGGGTATGTAGACTGCAAGTGGTGCATGAAAAATTCTTTCTTGAAGAAAAAGAGTAGCAGTAGTTTTCTTTCCTTTAATACGTGTACATCAAAAAATCAATTGGCTTTTTGCATCCACTAAAAAGATATTCATCCCCACTTAGCATCAGAGACAAAATTTTCTAATATTACAATCAACTCAACAGGAGGCATATTTTACCTTCCACAATAATTAAAAATGAGGCTAATTGGTATCACGAAAAGATCGTTTTACTATTGATTAAAAATATTTCTAACTGTTAAACAACCTTACCTCCTCATAGACGTTCATCAAAATATATTGTCTGCATGTTCCTAGCACAGTTTCAGGATATAAACAGATTTTTTTTCCAGCAGATATTGATACACTTCAAAAAGTGGATGACATCTATCAAGCCATATTTTTTGTGTTTTCTTGCGTTTCATCCATTCAATTTTAGTCAGAAATTTAGTTATTTCCTCAACAGATAGCCCTATGGTTTCACTAATTAGGTTTCCTTGCCACTTTTTGCTAAATCTTTCTTTTCTTTGCTTTAAAACTCTTAGTTTGTATTGTACTGTCAGGCAGTGGCAAATTTGAAATAAATCCTAATTCAATTTTACCTGTAGAGCGTGTATTTGGCCCCAGTAGAACAAGTGACTTCACAAATTATTGATTCTGGCTGTAAATGCTGTGCTCCTTTTTTGCCTTTGCCTGAAACTTTGTTTTCAAGGCGATTTACCTTGGCGCTCACTTGATAATTCACATCAGTAATCTGCTCACATTTTAGTAATGGATGACTAGGAGCAAGGGTAATCACACATATCCTGCCAGGAAAGAGAATGATCTACATGAACCTACATTTTGTAAAGTATACAATTCGTACCAGCAGGGGTGGGGGAGGGGAGGTTAGGGGGTAAGGGGGTAGCTAGGAAAGGGGATCCTAGGGCACCCATGATCCCTATGATCCCCCATTCTGAGAGGCATCCCCAGCCTCGTACCCAGGCCAGTCCATGCTATCCGAGTTACCAGAGGAGGCTTGGAACCTAGTGTGAGTCCTCAGCAAATTTTCCCGACAAGCTTGACAGGTGACATCACATCCGAAATCGCCGAGGACAACTCGGAACGAGGATGAGGCATCCCTTTCCCTTTTTGCGAATATTATGCTAAAAAATTGAAAAACCATAGTCCATACTAAAATCCTA